AAGGCTCCCATTCCAGCAGCAATCACACTAAACACGGCATATGTTAACAGACCCAACGCTGACAGGCGAAATAGGGTTTTAGTCAAGTCCGAATGCTCTTCAACTCTGCGGAACTCCAACCATTGCACCCTGTGAATAGGTGCGGTATAAGAAGGAGGATTTTCGCTCCATCTCATTTTACTACCACTAATCGTAAAGAAACAAACCAAAAATGGCAAGAGTTAGAAAAGGAGGTGTTAATCACAAATGTGACGGTCATTCAAATGTCGGAGCCGTTAAGGAAGGAGGATGGGATGATGGAAGGGACCAAAAAACAAAAATGAATAAATTAAAAGCAAAACTCATAAAATCAATCATAAAAGACATGCAAATTTCAATTCAATTGCGGAACTTTGTGAACATTACGGTAAATTAAATAAAAAAAACTTTATCATATTTGAAATACAATAGAGTTATTATACAGAAAACTTACCGTTTAAATCCAAGCAGAATTACCAAAACAGAAAGCGCCATCAGCGCGCAGTGAACCAAATCCGGAAAATAAAACAAGTAGATGAAAAATTCCAGCGGGAACTGCAAATCGCTGGAGATGTGGCCTTCAGATGCGTCTGCCCGAACAACGCGGATGTCGCGTTGCGCCGCTGTTATCGCATCGGCAACTCTGCAACCAAACGAGTTTTCATCTTTATATCATTTTTAATTGTTGTTTTTTTACAAGAGACCTTTATTGGTGATATTTTTACGAGTATTATTCTATTGTTTCTATTTCATGCTCTATTTATCATTAGTATGAAATTAAAATAAATGGAGTTAGTGATAAATAATGATGGTTAGAAAGTAATTAATCTGGTATAGGTATAATGGATGAATGTATCTGTGAATGATCGACTAAAACTAAAATGCAGGTGTCGTTGCATTAGTCATATTTGGGGTGATATTTTCTTATTAATATGTGTAAAAAAGTAATTGAAATTGTTCCCTTAATATATTAATAAAAAATGAACATATATAGTTCAAATGTATGTTAACTAATGATTTTGACGACAACTTACCCGAGAAAGCGAACAATAAACATTACGTTAATAAATGCGTCGATGACAGAATATTCAATGATGAAGGGGTAAAGATCGCTGACAATCGTTCCCATTATCGGATTCCTTCCACACACGCTCGAATTATAAATATTAGCGATCAAGGTAGCTTGATTTAACGTATCGAAAGCCTCAAATATTTCCGATGCAATGTCCGCTGAAAGAAGGAAATCGTAACATAATTATCTTGAAATATAATCAATATTGGACAGATATTCTTGCTGGGTAACAGACTTTGTAAATTTGGAATTCTTCCTGACCGACTTGCAGCACTGACTTTCTACGCCATAGTCAACTGAAGGACTCACTCGTAAACATGCGAAAATATGAAAATACAATCTAAAAACGTGCTCCAAATGATAATAATGAAAAACAGCCGAAACTGAAAAGAATGCTACGAAGACACATCGAAAAACGTGCTGAATGTCGTGGTTCATCGACACGATAAGTTTCGACACTATTGCCCCAAAATCTCTATCATATCCAAAACTCTCTTGGGTCATGGGCACCAAATTGGATACCGTAATAACAATAGGTTTCACCGTAGAAGTGTACAGCTATTGGAAAACTTCCAACAAGTCTATCTCAGTTTGGGTCGGTCGATTATCGATGCGTACGTAGTGAACGGGTTATCATTTGGCCATGAACCTCTAAGCCCGTGGTTTTGATTCTTGTCGAACCCTATCGTACTCTTTATTACGTCGATGAACTTTGATTTAGGAGTGAAACCACGAAAGTAATATGAGGCATGAGTAGATGAAAATTGTTAGGTAAGGTTTATTATCATGCAAGAAATTTTAGTATGAGAAAAGGCTGGAAGATTTTTCTCTATTTCTGATTATACTAACTGGTGGTGAGAGTTATAGTCGGGGTCGAAAAGCTACTGTAATTGCTGCGGATTTAAAGGTGTGGTCGCAATCGATGCAATAGTGGTAGCAGCCGTCGTTACAGCACCAAGAACACGACCACTATGTCACAAAGTTTGTTTACGAATGGCTTCTGCAAATTTAAATACAGTTTTAACTATAATTATCTTCATTAGCAACAACCGAACACAATCTTGGAAATCAAATAATTTTCCTGGTTCTAAAAATATCTTCCTGCTAACAATCAATAATTCTTTGTTATACACATGAGTTACACATATTACAGATATTTCGCAATTCTAAACTACTTGATAGATAAACGATAACTGTTATTCGAACATATAATTTCATATTTCATTGCAGCTCGATAATTTGCAAATAATACCTATGTTTTCTTAATAGTTTTTGCGTTAAATTAACGTTTTAAATGAGTTAAATGCGAACGTCCAATATAACTTACACTTCAACTTTCAACTTTGCTATTTTAGATAACTTGACATTTGGCATATAAATATTACTAATTGATGTTTGCATAGGTAACGTTATCAGAGTATATGCTTATTTGTTTTCAATAGCTTTATGCAAGAGACTCACTACTATCTAATAAAAAAAATAAGTTTAAATAATTCATTTATTCTCAAAAACCTTTTAAATTAGTTTGTATGTTATTTGCTTCTAACATTTCTTGAAAATCCCTTTAAAAAAATTCAGACATCTTTGTAATAATAAAAATTCAATTATAAAAGCAGTGGAAAATTCTGTACATCAATAATTAATATTTAAATAATGGATAATATATAAAAGTTTGAATATTTGAATCAAATGTGTGGTAAATACCAACTATTATCGTACATGAATATTAATATATTTTTTTTTTCTCAGATCTAAATCAACACTATGATTACTGATTCACATTCTTTTAAGTTTTAAGTAGCGCCATCTAGTTGCAGTTAGTACTTTTCGAATGCCATCTACGTTTCTACACTTAACCGGCATAGTTAGTACTACACCATGAAAAACTATTAATACCAAATAGGTACTAAAAGTTCAGATTACAAGACAAAAACACTTTTAAACTAAATAGCACCAGTTCTTTAATTTACATTTACTTTGTATATTTGAATATAATTGGGGCGTATATGTGTTTAATAGATAAAATTGACAATTTGTACTAAATTAAAATTAAACAATAGGTGAATAGGTTAAAATAATACACACAATAAATTGTTATCATTAATTATTTAATTTACTCAAATAGACATTTTTTTTTTATATTTTAAAGTAGAGATTCCAAACATTTATTTTTGGTAAGTATCTAATTTAACATCGAGAAAACCACATAATTGGATAAACCTAAGATACAAATATCGGTACATTTTCCAAACTTTAGGTACACAGTAAATATTACCTACAAAATTTAAGTTAGAAATCGTATAGAGTTATAAAAGGGCTTACTAATAAGTGTTAAAAATACCGGCAGTGATAAAACCAAGCCAAACACGCAATCTCTTTAATATCGAACATTCACCGCGTAGCCTTCTCAAAGGATAGGCTATAATTTTTGACGCCAATTTTAATTTCATCTAAAATTTGTATTATAATAATCCACTCAAAACTACATTCACTCGCATCTCACAAGGTGAGCACACACTCTCCGAAACTGTAATCAGATCCTTAAATTTTAAATAAATATATTATTAAATAATATTTTAAGATCTATTTATACACAATCCGTACGTAATATAATGATATAGCGCTTGACGCCTTCGTTTAATTAATACAATAATAAACTCATTATAGGTACAGTGCCTAAGTAAATTATATAGACAGCTTATAAAAATAGATTGCACATAAAGGTTGTTACGAAAATATTTGTAAAGACATTTCATGCAACAGAATTTTATATAATTTTGTTTATCTCGTTCGTAGATCGGCGTAATTTACACAAAACGTCAACAATAAATTTTACCCTTTCAGCAAATACAATACTAGATTTATACAATTTCAACGCTAAATATAGTAGATACTTATAAAATGTGAGCGACGTATTAAAAAAACTGTATTGTATGGCCCCTTGCAATCAAAATATTTATACTCAATGTGGTTAAGCAGTTCCTGTTATATTCCTGCAATTCTTGTGTTTTGGTGTTCTGCTTATTAAGTACTTACATCATCTAAATACTATTCGTACGTAACATCCATATTCTACTTATCTCAAATATGTTGGCTAATAAATTTTTGAAACTTTAATATTATAATGCTTACGCAACTACTTTATTAAATTGGAGAACGTCGTGTTTGTTGACGGCCTTAGAAATTATTGGCCATTATTAATAGTCCTTGTTACGTCTGATAACTTTCTTGATACCTTGTTAATAATGGTTTTGGATTTTTTTGGGTTTTGAGTGGAGGCACATAAAAGGTGGCCGTTGGCACTGAGCTGTGAAAAAACGACCTTATCTCGAAGATTTTTGGATCCACTCATATTTATCTATTCCGTATTAACAAATAGCCTTTAAGATGTTTAATTTATTTAATTATTTATAAGTTGCTGTTAGACTGTATATTATATGGAAATATTTCAACCACCCAATACTATAAGTACACGTTTCCGTACGAAATCGCGTATAATTTTTAATTTTAAAAACTAAATTACTCAATAACTGAGTTTTATTTGTGTAGTTTATTTTTAGACGAAATTTATTGATATTGAAAATATTGTCAAATATATCAAGATGGTATAAGGAGGGAACCATTCACAACAAATTCTGATTCGTTTTAATGAGCAATATACGTATTAAATGTTCATCAGTCTTGGAAATAAAACTGTAAGTGGAATGTGATTTGAATGTTCCTCAAAGACTTTACCCGGGAGTTTAACCTGACGTTCTACCTGCGCTAAATATACCTAGACTGAAATCGAAAAACTACAATAATTGCTGTCCCGGATAAGGACGAAATCGGTAAAACCCTCATATCGTATCGGCAACTAAAGCTTATATATCGCCAATATCTTACTATATCCATTTTAATGGATGGGAATTCACTCAAGTCGAGCTTTGTAGCTGGTCTTCCAGATCTCGGCGAGGGTCACGGCGGAGTGGAAGCGATGGAATATGCAGAGGGGTAGAGTGAATCGTTGTACGAGTGACCAGGCGACGAATCCGTAGAAGTCCAATTGGACCTTCAATTTGGAAGAATTTAATAAAAATTTATTCGTAATGGTATCCGGACGGGTATTTTTAAGTTTTAAAAATTTAAATTAGTATAATATGTAAAAAATATATTAAACTGCAAATAAAACTTAAAGAAAAAACACTTGAATTCTTTGCATGAGTTTTTAGTTTATATGTCATAACATTTTTTAAGGCGAATTAATGATTGGACTTTGCCAACTAATCCGACAATTATTGTTACTCCGGGAAAATAACCCAGAACATTCGGGGCATGCGTTAACCAAGTATCAGAGGCCTAACCCCTTCATGCTTCCGAATTCTTTGAAAATTCCCTTTACGTCGTGTTTATATCTAATACATTCTATTCATTAAACAACAGGTTCTAAACTATTTCGATCTACCAACTTACCGGGTTAGCCAGAACTTTCTGAGCCTCAACGGTGTATATGAGCCACATGGTTACGTTGCAGATGAGCAGGAAGGTGACGGCTTGACGGGCTGGTTTGCTGCGCTCTTGTTCTGGAAGATGTACTCGACGCCTGGAGACATCCGCAATGAAGAGCAGTTGAAGAATCACCTGGAAATGATCGAATCCATTAGTTCTCCATCATGACTATCAACAGAAAACGCTATGGGAATATTCTCACGGTTAACAAGTAACCATTTCCATACAGATTCTATGGGTGACTGCAGGTATAGGTATAATCTAGGTAAGTGTAAGATACAGAACTGGACTTAACTACGTCTCCCGTATGTCAAAATTTATTACGTTTGTGACATACGAGATACCTTGCGATAATATAAGTGTCGATTCTGTTGCCCTAGGTTTCGTTGGTTAGTTAAATAATATTATTTTAGCGTTTAAAAGTTACTGAGGAATTTCGTGTTATAGCACATACTGGTTTAGGTATAAGCTTTATTTCGAAATGCTGGTATTATTTTTGTCCTAACGTAATAGAAGACCGATCTCCAAGAAATTTCAATTGACGATTAAAAATTCTTTCTGAAACTTTATTTGAAAAATCTATTACGCTAATTATTTATTGTATTCATACCTGTAGTACGCTCAAGCATCCGGTGATCATTACAAGAAGGTTTGGTTCGTGGGTGAAGGCTCCCATTCCACCAGCAATCACACTGAACACGGCATATGTGAACAGTCCAAACGCCGACACGCGAAGGAGGATATCGTTCAAGTCCGACTGCTCTTCAGAACGGAACTTCAACGATTGCACCCTGTGAATAGGCTCGGTATAGGAGGGAGGATCAGCGCTCCATTTCATTTTACTACCACTGATCATAATGAAACAAACCAAAAATGGTAAGAGTTAGAAAAGGAGGTGTTAATCACAAATGTGACGGTCATGAAAATGTCGGAGCCGTTAAGGAAGGAGGATGGGATATAATGGAAGGGACAAAAACCAAAAATAAATAAACTAAAACAAAACTCATAAAATCAATCATAAAAGACATGCAAATTTTCATTAAATAGCGGAATTTTGCAAACATTATGGAAAATCAAATAAAAAAACTATATCATATTTGAAATTCAATAGATTTATTTCACAGAAAACTTACCGTATAAATCCAATCAGAATTGCCAGAATAGAAAGCACCATCAGCGCGCAGTGAGACACATCCGCCAAATAAATCGATAAACGCTTGAAATCTTGGTGTCTGATCAGCACGAAGAAGAGAATCAAGCAGATGAGTGATGCCACCAAGAACAGCAAACCGCAGAAGAGGCCTTTTGATGCGCCTGCGCAGTCTACCCGGTTGCCGCGTTGCGCCGCTGCCATAGCTGCCGCCCTGCGGGATAGAACAGCCTCCAGACGTCTTTCCAGATCTTCGTCATTGGCAACTCTGCAACCAAACGAGTATTCATCTTTATATCATTTTTAATTGTTGATTTTTTTACAAGAGACACTTTTTGGTGATATTTTTAGGGAGTATTATTCTATTGTTCTATTTCATGCTCTATATCACAAGTATGAGAATTAAAATGAATGGAGTTAGTGATAAATAATGATGGTTAGTTAGTTAATTAGTCTGGTAATGGATGAATGTTTATGTGAATGATTGACTAAAACTAAAATACAGGTTTGGTTGCATTAGTCACATTTGGGGTGACTTTTCCTTATACACATATAAAGGAATTAAAGTTCCCTTAATATATGTATAAAAAGTCATCCCTTTAAGTTAAACTCTATGTTAACTAATGATTTTAACGATAACATACCCGGGATAGCGGCCAATATGCTTCCACATGACGTAGATAACTGCGGCGCCGATGAGAGAATATTCAATGATGAAGGGGTAAAGATATGGCGCGGAGTCACTGACAATCGTTCCCATTATCGGATTCCTTCCACACACGCTCGTATTATCAATATTAGCGATCAAGGCAGCCGGGTTTAAGGTATCGAAAGACTCAAATATTTCCGATGCATTGTCCGCTGAAAAAAGGAAATCGTATCATAATTATCTTGAAATATAGTCAATATTGGGGCAACAGAACACTAGGCAGGTAAAAAAAATTGTATGCAGATAAATTCGGAATTCTTCCTGACCGACTTGCGGCACTGACTTTCCATGCCATAGTCCACTGAAGGGCTCACTCGTAAACATGCGAAATGAAATACAATCTAAAAACGTGCTACAAATGATAATAATGAAAAATAGCCGAAACTGAAAAGAGTGCTACTGGAACAATACGTGAGACCGAAGACACATCGACAAACCTGCTGAATGTGGTGGTTCATCGACACGATAAGTTTCGACACTATTGCCCCAAACATCTCTATCATATCCAAAACTCTCTTGGGTCGTGGGCAACAAATTGGATACCGTACTAACAATAGGTTTCACCGTAGAAGTGTACAGCCATTGGAATACTTCCAACATGGCTGTCTCAGTTTGGGTCGGTTTCGTCCCGGGCGTGATCGATGCGTACGTCGTGAACGGGTTATCATTAGGCCACGAACCTCTAAGCCCGTGGTTTTGATTCTTGTCGTACCCTATCGTACTCTTTATTACGTCGATGAACTTTGATTTAGGAGTGAAACCACCACCAAAGTAATATGAGGCATGAGTAGCTGAAAATTGTTAGGTAACGTTTAATTATCATGCAGGAAATGTTAGTATGAGAAAAGGCTGGAAGATGTCTCTCTATTTCTGATTATACTAACTGGTGGTTAGAGTTGTAGTTGGGGTCGAAGCGGTAGACGTTGCTGCTGTAATTACTGCGGATTTAACGGTAGTGGTCGCAGTAGATGCAACAGTGGTAGCAGCCGTCGTTACAGCACCAAGAACACGACCAGCATGTCTCAAAGTTTGCTTACGAATGGCTTCTGCAAATTTTAATACAGTTTTAACTATAATTATCTTCATTAGCAACAACCGAACACACTCTTGAAAATCAATAAACAGAAATTTAATTTACTTCCGAGTACGCCTTCTCCGGACACTCCTTGAGGATTCTTTAAGTGGTAGTCTGTGATTTCCTTCAGAGATTCGAGTACCAAGGTGCGAATCCAAACGCAGATGTTAGTTGCGACCACGTGCATCAGACCGAATCGAGCGATAACTTTGAATCGATGAATGTTTAGCTAAAATATAAAAACGTCTTAAAGTAATTTATTGTTAAGGAAATATAATTTTTGAAACTGAATGAGAATAAACTTACACGAGAATTCATAAAAATAAAATACATCTGCATGAACGTGAAAACCATTTGTAAAACGGGGTTTACTCCTTTCAAGATTAGATAACACGGAGATGTCAGCGGTAGTTCAAAGAATGTCCCGAATTCCAGCCCATTATAAATCATTGTTCCGAGACCAAAAGCTGTAATGAAATTTTATAATTAACGCAGATATATCTTTAGACTTATTAAGATTTCAAAAATAATAGGGTATGTATATGTATATCTAATAATAGTAATTTTACTGACTATACCCAATTTTGCATTACTTTAATTAAGGAATACCCAAACCACCACAAAATAATAAAAAGTGTTGTTAAACAGAGTCCTTACCTATAGCTCCTATTCTAAGGAAGAAACTGCCATGGCTGTGATCATTCTGCGAAGTCTTGCGCCTGCGTACTGGTCTAGCGACAGGGCCTGCCTCTAGCTCCACGACGTCTTGTTGCTAAGTAAAGGCGTGAAACGATATTTAAAGCAATCAAATAGTAGAAAGCAAGAAATCCACAAATTCATTTCCCATATAATAAAATATTGTATATTCATTGGTCCATGAAGATATCGTTACTAAACTTGTTGCAATTTAAAATAACAAACTCGAAAATCCGTCTTCTTATAGTAAGAAATAGATAAATTACTAGATGTTTTAACGACAACTCCATGGTCATATTTTATTAGTATGGTGCAAATACAGATTGATGTTAACATATTAATCAGGACCACGCAGGAAAACGCATCTCGAAATTTCGAAAGCAAACTGGGAAATAGCAGAATAAATTAAGCTATGCATACACAGCACATCCAAAGCAAACCACGACAATTTAAGCAGGATTCTTCAACGACCTCACCTGTTCGGAGGCATACAATAGCGCCATTTGTATTTCCTGTTGTCGAACTTTATCACGCATCTTACGGGGATACACCTCCTGCCCAAATGAATATGGAAAAAAACAAAAGAATAGGCAGCGTAAACAAAAAAGGCTCATGCGGCCGCGTCCTAACAAAGCTACACGTGTGAGTAAAAAAAATTGGAAGTGCAAAAACAAAGATTATTTACATCACAATACTCAAAATTATTGTTAACTAATGATGGGGACATGACAATGTGCTGATGATGTGCTGTGTATTATTAACATGAAAGTGCCTTACCTGGAAGCTTTGTTTCTTGCTATCTTTGGTTGATTTGTCCATTTCCTTATCTTTGTCCTTGGCTTTTCCGTCTTTCTTATCTTTCTTTCCATCTTTACCATCTTTTGTTTCTTTGGTTTTCTTTTCCTTCTCTTTCTTCGGCTTCTTTTCCTTTGGCGGTGGTTTCGGCTTGGGAGGACTTCCGTTACAGCATGAACTTTCTAATATAACAAACAACGTATTACAGACACCAAATTTAACAAAGACTAATTGTTTTCTACAACATACAGCAGTTTCAATAATGGTTTTTGTTATGAGAGCTGGATACAACTTTAGCTGTTTTGTGAGTTACAAAACATAGACATCAAAGAAAAATTTGTCTTTTTTTATTCTAATAAATAAGTGTTGAATATTTATCGATGATACGTTAAGCTAAGTTCCTGAAGAAACTATGATTAGTACGAGTATATAGGTTTTTATACATACATATTATTTACTTAGCTATATTTACCTTGAAGTAAGAAGCAGAAGACGTACAATAGGAAGAGAATACTCATTCCGTAGAGGTACGTGAAGAAACCCTCATAATAGTAGAGGGGAAGGTTATGGGTAATCACATCGCTGATGACATAGGCAATGCAGACAACCACCAATAGCTTCGCGTAGATGAAGCTGGAGATGATGAACAGAGATGTTCTGGAAAAAAATGTTTTTTGGTTTGCTAAAGATCGTCTTGAAACACTTAATAATTTTGAAATACATTATTATGTATTATGATAAAGACACGTTTTTATTTCTGCAATTTCACATTACGTAAAGCAGTTGTTACTGCTTGTCATATATTTTAAGTTTAGTATATAATTTATAAATTAATATATGTTTTCTTAGGTATTACACCCGAGACTCTCCGAGCTGCGTTACTTAACTGGTAATCAAATGAGGCACGACGACATTTATACATGTTTATGTTTAGACAAGCCTTCCCAAATACAAACTCTGAAATTTGCATAATTTTATTCAATCCTATTTTTCCAGTATTATTGAATTTGAGAATGAAGGAAACATTTTTCCAGTTATATACTTTGTCATTTTCAAGCGCAGTGGGTCAATAGTTTTTTGTTTGAACAGCGCCGACCTAGTTATAATGAAAGCACGACCTATAAAATTATATTTTATTGTCGTTTTTATAAAACCGTCCGGTTTTTCATTCGGATATTTAAGCACTCCTAACCCCGTGAGCTGCCCTCGATGCTGTAACTCACTTTTCGAACTCACTCAGCGGTTTCCGCATCGGCGGTCGCTCTGAAATCAGTCGAAGCAGTCATTTTATGATTTGGCATTCTAATAAACAATAAACTACAAGCTTCCACCTTTTCAGAATGCCAAATCATAAAATGACTGCTTCACGAGATACGGCACGTAAGCTTTACTGTTAACAATGAAATCGTAACCATTTTATATTTACATAAAAATATCAAAAGAACTTATTAAAGCCTGTATGTCTTTATTTCTTTGATTTTCAATATTTCAGATTTTTGTTTTTATGTTACGGGCAGGAGGCTGCCCTGATATTAAGTGATACCGCCCGCCCATGGACACTCGCACTGCCAGAAGGCTCGCAAGCGCGTTGCCGGTCTTTTAAGAATTGGTACGCTTTTTTCTTGAAGGACCCTAAGTCGAATTGGTTGGGAAATATGCTCTATAAGACCGTCACGAATTCTAATATTTGTATCTTAGATGCTTTACCTAAAAGGTCTTAGAAGCGCTGAGGAAAAATTTCACGTCGGCAACTACGTAGTATGTTTAAAAGCCAGAAGAAGTATGAATAAACATCATAGAATAGTTTTTTGGTAAGTACTACTAGAGTTGCAGCTTTAAAAAATCTTCCGCAGTGCAAAGTTTGATATAATTTTTACAGCATAAAATCATAAACTTATTTCTAGGAAAACGACTCGTACATACATTAATCGCGTAGTTAGTATTTCATGACAAAGGTAAAAGCATGTAATTTAAAAACCCGCTATAAATTTCAGAATTTCAAATAAATAAATCGTAATTTATTTCTAGTAAAGTTGGTTTTCCTTTTTCAAATTTCTATGTTGTGTACGCCCCAGTTAAAGACAATACATTTCTCATTGAAACTTTAATATGGACCGTTCGAAGACAAAGACTTTCTTCACTGTCACTGTCACTACGCAACGGTATAGATTATATAGCTGTTATATACATCGTTCTTCATAATGTAGAATTTAGTAAAGGTATTAGCGGAGATTTTCTTTTTATTATTATGTGAAACTTTTATGACGTATTTTTGAGTTTAAACATAATAGAACTTATTACCAGGAGTATATTGGAAGATTTAAGGGGTGAGAATAATAATAAAAGTGTTCAAACTTAAACTAAAAAAAAAAAATTATCAATATATTATTTACGATAATGGATTATAATTTTAACTCAGAACGTACTTCTTCGACGGCTTCGGCTGGACGCACTTCAGCTCCATCTCCTTATTAGCATTGTTATGCTTCTCAGCAATTGCGATATCGCTACCCTGCTGGCGGTGCTGTCCCACGGGTAACGTTGCCATATTATCCACCGACTCAAGTTCCACAGTCGCCACTTTCACTTCAGCATCGGTTGGCTGGTGCTTATCTTTACCCATCGCGGTGTGAAACGAACACTTCACAAGATTACGGGCATTTTAAGAGTCTTTGGGATTAAGGACAGGGTAAGGGTGGGATTCGCGAAGAGCTCCTTTAATATAAAAAGGCTCCGGAAGCGAAAAGGTGCGGCTCCAGCTCGGTACCCGCGGCTCGAGTGTGCCGAGAGTTGCGCAGTAATGGATGCTGCGCGCATAAGGACTTCGTAGGGGCGACAAACGCACCCCTCCGATTAAATTGTACTCTTAATATAGAGGGGCGGTATTTTATGATTTTAAAGAGGGGCAGTTATTATGAGGGACAAATGCCATTAGACACAGAATGTCCACGTCTAATTTATGCAATCATAAATTAATAGTATCTATAAAAAGCGTGTCCTCTTTTACAAGTGTAAAGTCAAAGCTTAGGTAATTATAATTATATAATAATGCTGAAAGTAAGTTGTTAAAATAAAGCCCAATTGGATTTCAAATTAAAGCTTTAGACAGCCCTAGGGTGGCGGCAAGCGGTCGATAGAGGCGCGTCTCTCCCGGTAAACTTTGGGAGGCTGCGCGAGCGACCCACTGACCCGGCCTCAACTGAATACTCCTAACAAAACGCCTCCATTACTGAAGTACTACTCCATGTCTACGTTGCAACCCTAATTATTCATATTAGAATGCAAACGCACGTGTGTCATAAGACGTCGGACAAGTTAAAAGGCATTTAATGGTCTCAAAGGATGAAAGGCGACGCGCATGCTCGCTCCTGATTGAATAGGAACTGTGGGACGGGTCGGCGAACTCCAATACAAACACAACACAATAGCACTATTTCGAATTGGCACATTATGTGAATTTGTTAACTTTTTTGTTACGATATATTACTCGATCCGTATTATAGAACGTGGATTAACATATACGGTATTTGTTAACAATATTATATCACATTACTATTTATATTTCGTAATCTAAAAATAAATAAATATTAATTGGTAATGTTTTTATTTATATACAATTACGGTCCTGTTACCATTGCACACATTTCTTGATTTATTTTTTGTGTTTTATTTGTCAAATTACTTCTATTTATCAAATAAAACAAAAATACCACATATACATGCATTGTGTACTTTTATTTTGTTATATTTTACTACAATCTTACAACGTACCGTAACTTTGTTTATCATGCTATTAATCAGGTTGAAGTTGCCATTTAGATTTAGGTATTATTGTTTTTATTTTTTATTTTATGGTTGCTTGTTTAATTATTTCCCTTGCTAGATGGCTTGTGTTCTAATATGATTGATGTGTATGTGTGTAAAAATGTGATGTCATATTTTCTAATATAATTTTATGCATACATGTTTTAGAACTTATAAACAAATAAATTGTGTCATCTTTGTGTTGTGTAACTGTTGATAGTCGGTGCAAAGATATTAACTATTACCTAATTTAATTATTATTAGAGTTATATTTAGTTATTAATTGTTAATAAATATTTCTGTGTAAAGAAACTTAAAGATTATATAACCATAATCTTATCCTTACAACACAGAAGAAGACAGTACAATACAAGCATACAATATGGGTCAAAAAGACGCTAAGTTCTATTTAGTCTAATTAGCAATGCCTATACGATATGTCTCGCTAAAATTGTCGCCCCTACTCGAAATCTTACGACATCTGTTATTCTCTATTAGACCTAGTCTGTTATTATTGCATAATATAACCAAGAAGGGTAGACACCGCTATAGTGCAACAAGTTTACATCGGGTCGTCTAACGATCACATTTAATATTACATATGTGTGAAAAGGCTGCGAAATGTTTTTGGAATTCAAATCGGCCGCGGCGTACAGCAGCGGATATACAATATGTTATTAAAGTCACCGAAGAACCTTTTAGATAATTCCCCTACAAGTTTAATTACCAATCTAAGCTTTATCTTGGTCTGGTGAAATCTTTCAGGGCCGGGTCGTGACTTCTCAGTTAAATGAATAACTAATCCCCTTATTCTTAAAAACAAAAAAGGTTTCATTACACTCGTTATAATACTCTTATGTCCCTTTTTATCCAAATGTATTTACGCTGTGATAGAAAAAGAGAACATTAGTAGAAAAGGTGCATTTAAACTGATTTATTTTGTATCCAAATAGACGAAGATACTCTATACTTACAGAATTATAGTTTGCGGTAATTCTATCGAACAAAGGAAGGGTATTTAATACGTCCTTATACGTTCACAAAAACATAAATATTTTTAAGGCATCGGAAAAGGACAACTGCCGAAATAGACATAGGAAGAAATTGGGTTTGCCAAAAATTAATCTCGAATTGTATAGGAAAAACACTTCTTGTATGGCGATCAAGGTTTATAATAATTTACCGAAAACATTCAACGATCTTCCTACTAGCATTTTTAAAAATAATAATAATAAAAATAAAATAATATTATTCTATTCATGATTAATTGAGGGAAACATTTTAATTAATATTAATTTGATATTCTAATAATATATTTTAATAATGTCTTGTTGTAGTGATAAAATAATATAAAAACTGCATATGATGATATGATAATGTAATATTAAACTACCATGGAAAATTCTACCCTTCAACTATGTAAGATAAATTAGTACGCATACGTATTATGTGTGGCAGAATATTCGAAGTTTAGATTCTACCACCGTAATATTTGTGTGCTTGCAAAGAAATAAATTATTATTGTTATAAAATTATAAGGTGTAACGCGTTAAGTCTTGATGCAACAATGATTCTAAGGTAACATTGCATTCAACAAGTGTTGCGTAATGTTATTAATCCCAATGGTAATTCTATAATAGCATGCTATTAAAATTAATTTTCTATGATATAATGAGGCTTTTAAAAATCATGTGAGATCTACTTGTGTTTTGCTGTTTCTCATTCATTTTACTTTTGTGAACTTCAGTTGCGCTCATTGTGGTCTAATAAATTAATGATCCATTAAATATATTTACATTAAATATCTAAAGGAACGGCGATCCGACTTTGGTATAGGCCGATAACCAATGGCTTTTAAGTATAGTGTCAGTATAAGTCACAGAACACAGTACATGTGACCGAACATGAACACAGAACATGTTCGATCTATAGAATCTGTGGATCTAATGGAATACATTTTTCGGTTTAGTAGGCACAGCCTATACAATATCAATGGCAGACATGGAATCCTGTGCCATATTGGGGTAAAGACAATAAAAATCTTAACCATTCAAAATCGAATAGAAATTAAAATTTGAGAAAGTCAAAAGGTAAGGTCAAAGTCAAAGTCAAATAGAATAAACACGTTTTTCAGTATACTTTTAAGTACCATCAATAAATGGCCACTATGACCTAAAAGTTTGATCCAGCATCCGAACAAATTAATGTCCAGTCCACTGGAAACGCTTTGATTGTGGCTTCCTGTCCTTTTTTAAATTACTCTTTGTTGGGTCATGGCTGTGATAATTTGCCCCTATGGATTAATATGTCAATATAAGCTAACATGAAAGTGTCAATAAGAACGATAAGAGGGAAACATCGTTGAGTGTGCTTCGTTTTAGAACGACTTAAGTCAATGGCTCTTACATCGGAAATGTTGTGTATTCTTTAAGAATCCAGTGGACACAACCTTTGATTTGGACTTCAGATTTCTGTATCTGTTTCGTGAATATACGATTTTAAAACAAATGGTGTAACAGTATAATACTAGAAACGGAACTAATTTAAGTGTATGACCAACCAGAAGATAAACCACTCGTTATATGGAAATTGTATTCGTTTTTACAACAAACTCCCAAGCGAAATTAGATTATCACTGAATAAATTCAAAGCTATCCGTTAAACATAAATTAATCAATAAAGCTTTTTATAAATTTAACGAATATTTAAATGATCCTAATCCTTGGGATTATTTGCTCCAGTTCAAACAATTTGTATGACTCAAAACTTAGCGATTAAAAAGAGTGGCGGAGAGTTTCTGTTGACGTTCATATGTATACTTGTTTACCTATATGAATAAAGTTATTTTGAGTTTGATCATTTAGTTTTCTTAATATATGTATAGATACACACGCAGTCAACTTTTTTGGGTCTAAGGGCATGCCTTCCAAGTTTCAGTTTCCTCACGATGGTTTCCTTCACGGTACGCTAGAGCCATGACATAAAGTAAGTCGAGTTTTTAACTCTACCCGGAGAAGCAATCAGTTAGAGTTTCTCCCTTTGAGAGTCAATATCTCTTTAGGTATTTTGAACTAAAATTCCGAAATTGTATCAAAGCCAATTGTTAAGATTCTTGGATATAATAACTCAATAAAGTTTCATACCAAAATCCCTCTTAAAAGTGTTGTCTGCTTGTTTTTGTTAATTATTGCCTATATCAGCAATAGCAAATTCTGAAATACATACATTTACGCTTTTGCAGTAATAGTACAATTATTATATAACTAGGGTATTGTATGAGAATAACTTTTGTAATCAATTTGTACTCGCTTCAGGGTAACCTATAGTTAATTGTGCTCGCTTAGCGACGTACGTTTACGTACTACATTTAATTAGTTATACACATGTACTTTATATTTAGATAATGATATTCCGTGTCGAGTCTACATAGCATTAACATTATTAGTAATTGTCTCAAAATATACCAATTAAATAGTATATTTTATCAATTGTAAATACACCGTAATATTTATAAAATAATATTTAATATGTCATCCGAATCTACTATTGACAAGATTGTTATTTTACAAGAGTACTTTTAAATTAATTAAGAAATATTCACGCAAGTGGAAGAAATTAATTCATATATTCATGAGCATGTAAGTAGCTTCGGGAATAAAAAAATCATGGTATAGCTGTGAAAAACTGAAATAAAAGACTTACTTGGCATTTTTAGGTTTTGTATTGGGCTGGCAGCAGGCTCTATACCGTAGTATTGCCTCGGTGGGTGTCAGGGCATCAGTTTCATCCGCCGGCACCTCACACTCGTCAGTGACGAGTGGAGCGCGTGCCGGCGAAGTATGTGATCCGTACCCGTCGGAATTCAGCTAAAAACAATTGAAAATCAATTTTTTTTTAATTGGGATGAATTGTCTATATAGGAGAGATAGTAACAATTTTTTTTACGTCAGGAAGGAAACTTCGTCGTGAAAAGATCTATCTTGGCATATTTTAGATAATCTTTTAGTTTATTTTCTTTAATATTAAGACTCATCGTTTGTTCGTTAGATCATTTTTAAGAAGATAATCACGAAATATTTATTTTCCCGCTATCGCACCCATGACTAGATATATATATCCGTTTACCACTAAGCTATGGTGGCGATATCTTGTTCCATGTTATAGTATTTAAAAATACATCCACATTAAACAACAAAGAATACCAAAGCAACAAACTACGTTTACGCGAAAGAAAATCTAAACAAACTTGTAGTTAAAGTCGTAAGATCGTTTATTATTAACGAATACATTATTATTAATGTGCTAGGCAACGCGTGCAATAATTTTGTTCTATATCATGCCTCTACAAATAATAATAATGAATGATGAATTAACCATACAGTCAATTAAATTACCTATTGTAATGTGTTCAAAGAAATATTTATTTACACTTTATTTACCGATTTAGTACTAATTAAACTTAAATTAATAATTACAACTTTTAACTATATATATATTGACTAACTTACCTTATTCAACGCCCAATAATGTACAATAATAATGCGTTTTAGTTTAAATTTACATGTTCTACTTAGATACGTCATTAAACTTCTGATCAAGACATCGTTAACAATGTCTATCTAGTGAAACTTTTTCTATATAATATATTGTAATAATAATAAAAAGCCACCGTTATATAGAATAATTTATATAAATTGTAAAAAAAAAATGAATGATGATGTAGATGATCTTACTTTGACGATGGTGCCGACCTGGGTGTCTGGTGGTGGTGGGGCGTGATCCACTTGATCACGGGATTGATCTTTGTCACGTTCGATTCCGTCAGCTGGTGCGCCAAGCAGCCGCTCCTTCATCTCGTGGATGTAGGGGCAACGCTGCATCGCGATGTAGAATTCGCGTACGCGCACCTGCAATTAATTAAATTTCGATTTAAACAAGAACTCTTTAGCACTGAAATGCATTTTTGTATGTTATGTTTGATTATACATAGCCATTGAACAATAAAAATCTGCTATTGACGCTGAAGTCTTACTTCGTAGGAAGGTAGCGATTCGCATAAAGAATATTGCTAATTAAAACGTTTCAAGCAATTTCGGTTCGGTTTCAAAAAAGTTTGCTGAGTTAAAAGAATTCTTCACCACAGAGTCACTTTCTTAATGGTTCGTATTATTTATTACATGATAGTAGCTTGTACAACGCTCTGTCGGATATTCTTTTAAAAATAACACGAAAAACGTTGTAATAAAAAGTGATTGGCGCCAAAGCCGCAAAATGGGCGCCACAGTTAAATCGGAACATGCCATAGAGTATAAAAGAACTGCGTACTCCCTAGTAAAAAATAAAAATAGATACTCTTTGGTGATACCTACTTCGTGTTTTTTTGACCTTTGACGTTTATTGAACATTATTTTGATTGGGCAATGGTCTTTTTTTAGGATTAAAAACCTTAATCCTAAAAAAAACTTTGATATACATACATACTTATTCTAGTCAACTTATTTGAATGTCACATGGGCTTAGCATGAGCATAATTATTTTTATGAATACCACACAATGTATATCAAATAATTACACTGCGAATAATATAGTGTTATTGGCAGACGTTACCCTATAGCCAGGGCATTGCACTGCCAAACTAGTTCCGTAAGTCTGAAGATAATAAACACGGGCGAATACCGTGAAATATCTAGGTTTCATTTGAATTCTAATTAAGTTTTTGCCTCCCAGAATTTGTTATTGTTTTAAATTTTAACGACGTTTCAGGCGATAAAGTAAGGATATTTAAATGTTTAATGGGTATGTTATTATTACTTGCTAAACAGTTTGGTATGAAAACTCGGAATGATTGCTAAAAAGGAGGATATATTTAATAATGTTAAAAAAATAGAATAAGTTAACATTAAACTACATACAGATATAAAAGTTAAAATAAAAAACTATATCATTCTCTCTCTCGCTCTACAATTTATAAATCCATATTTATTTTAGGGCAATATATTATTTTTGTTGTGAATTTTCCAAAAGTAATTCACAACAGCTTGGAGTACTTACAAAGATGAAGTGTTAAAGTGACAAATGACAAATTATTATCAGTCAACATGCCAATTAAAAATATTTTAAAATACACCAGCGCAAACTAGCGAGTTACCAAAATTACGTCGCACAGCACATTTCCATCGTTACAGTTGAATAACAATTATTTTTATCATGTACATAGTTCAGAGAAACACTAGAAAATACTTTATTTGATGAAACTACTCTATGACACGACAACATTTTTTGTAAATTCACTGGTCGTATACAAAGCTAAATGTATAGTAAAAAGAACATTCTGAATACATTTCTTAGCATTCACTAAGAACGAGGTTGATTAAAAGCAGTACATTTCTAATTCTACTACAGTACTTTATGTCCCGTCGAGGTTGTAGACTGTTTTTGTTATACGTTTCTATTATGTTAGAAAATACCAGGACAGTTCTATCCGCTTGCATGTGGGTGGCTTACAATACTATAAATGGTATAATTGCATCTAACACTTAAGTGATTCCTTCACGCGCTTTTTTTTATAGTACAAGAGGCAAACGGGCAGGAGGCTTACCTCATGTTAAGTGATACCCATGGACACTCAATGCCAGAGGGCTCGCAAGTGCGTTGCCGGCCTTTGAAGAATAAAAAATACAATTAATATGGTATCAACATTTTTATTTATTTTTCGTTAAAACTTTAGATAACAATTTTAATTAATATCGTTTGTGTTAGGGACCAGAATATTTGGGAACGAGGTGTTATTCTCCACCATTACTTGACAAAAAAATTTAAACCAAAACATATGTAAGATTCTGGTTGATGTTTTTTGTGTCTCTCTAGTTACTGAAGGCAGTCAATCTCCGTTATCTCTTGTTCCTTGGCAATCTAAACAGTTGTATCACTGGTTTGTGTATGACTGCAGTTTTTTAATTTTACAAATGAAACTAATGTTGTTTCCCGCATCACCTCGACGTGCGTCGTTCCACAACTTAGCGTTTTTAAGGAAGTTTTTGTTATGTAGAACTAGCTGCCCACTGAATTAGTTCAGAACCAATTCGACTTAGAGTCCTTCAAGAAAAGAGCGTACCAATTCTTAAAAGGCCTGCAACGCACTTGCGTGTCTTCTAGTAATGCGTGTGTCCATGGGCTTATGACTTAACAGCAGGTTTGTTATAAAACAATTATAATATTTTTTAAACGTCCCAACAAAAACTCAACGTAAAATTGTAAAACCCGTTAGATTGTAATCTATCTCGCGAGATTGTAAACTGTCGAAAAATTGTGAACTCAACGTACTGCTTACAATTTAACGTATTATTTTTCGGTAGATTGTAATCTATCGAAGTGAAACCGTCAACCGTCACATACATACAATCAAGTGTAAAATAATATATACTAAAAGGAAATACTACTATAAAAAGTTTCTAACAGTGGAATGCATTTATAAAAAAAAACAATTATGGAAATGATCACTGCAAACACCATCGATTGACCAAAATGAGGCCAGTAGGGCGCTGGACATGAAACTTGATACTAACAAAGTGTTATGAGTATGTTACCAACAAATTAAATTGTAACAACCTTATATACCACAGACAAGATCCAGAGTCCGTAACTCTATATCCGACAAAGAAGGTTTCAATTAATTCATCATGCGTTATAGACTGTCATTGAATGAATATTACATCACCCAAGAAACATTATATGTTACAAGTTTAAACTGTAATTGCTACGAGTTCTAGGATAAGTATGACTTTCGTCCCGTATGTAAAAAACTATACTATTTTAACATAGTTAGAACTTAGTATCGACTCTGAATCTTACCATTAGGGTTAATTACCTTCGTTCTCTAGAAAACATAATTATTTTTATATATTTTACAGTTTATTGACAATCCACATTATTTTTAACTTTTAATTTTAATTTTATTTACATTTTTATTAATTTTATTATACACCTTTACACAAGACGTCATTACGTACACTGGTAACTTTTATTATTTTTTTTTTCTACTTAGTATTTATTACATTCCTTTTCTTTCTTTTTTTGCGACTGAGGGGCTGGCAGAGACCACAGCTAGAATGACCAGCGCTGTGGAACATGCTGCTCCTCAGCATAATGCTGAGTCAAGGCCAATTACACACACAGCACACACGCATTACACACTTGAAACGAACCGAATGGGTTTTTTTTATTGTGTTTGATATATGTTATTTTTTCTTTGATTATTGTTATTTTGTGTGTTTATGTGTGTGTGTTTTTGTTTGTAATAAATGTTATGTCTATGTCTAAAAGTGTGTGAGTATGCGTTTTAAACTTTAGAAAAACGTACTATATAGTTATAGAGAATAATAATTTAAATTTAGAATCTGGGTGTTAGACCAACACAGACCAGAGTTAATTATCTGCGTAAAATAAGGTTGAGGTGCTATTTCTTATTTATTATTCATACGCGCATAAATTAGTTACTCTGCTATTATACGATATTTCTAAACTATTACTTATAAATTTACTACAGTTTTCTTAATAAAGGTTATTTTGCTTAGCTTGGGTGGGTAACAATAACTCAAAAACAAGGCTGATGAAAGATAACTTATAATCGTGTGAAAACAGTATTATGCTATTTAAAGTTACGAAATTCAAATAAAATTCCACAATATTTTTAATTGTCATCATAACTTGTTCATTACGCGCAAACAAAGAACTTTATAAAAAATACTAGCTGACCCGGCAAACGATTGTTTTGCAATGTATATTATTTGTAGGAAACATTTTTTAGCTCAAAAAAAATAACTATCTACAATAATAAAAAATAGGGGTTGATCGTAGAGGGGTGAAAATTAGGGCTTGTATATATATGCTGTATCAAAAAAAATGTCTAAAAAATATTTTTTTTCGGGTGAACAACCCTTATTACTTAAGGGTTTGAAAGATAGTCGCTGATTCTCAGACTTACTGAATATGCTTAAAAACATTCATAAGAATCGGTCGAGCCGTTTCGGAGGAGTATGGGAACGAACATTGTGACACGAGAATTTTATATATTTTATAAGAATTTTAACTCATCCTTCCGGTCCTTAATAGGTACATACCTACTTGATTTAAATGTATCTTTAAGACAATCGATTTGTCTGCCCAGTACTGGTGTATCTACTGGAGATTAAGAAGTCTTTAAATTAAATGTTTCATAAAATTAAACAATTAATTCGCTCGAATAAGTATCGCTCATACAGCGAGGAAATGCTGCCAGCATTGGTACATTGCCACAGGGACTAAACTTTTTAAATTTGTTTTAATAATATATTAATTCATTTTTAATTATTATTACTACTAGGTTAAGAATATTGTAAATAAAATTAAATAGATTTTCACCTTATATTGTCTTTGGTTTACCCAAGTAAATTTTATTCTCAACGTTTCTTGCGCTTTTCAGCAATATTCAGCGATATTGAAATGTTTAAATAAAATAGAGTTTCAATTTACAATATTTCTAAAACCAGAACTTATGAGTAACTGATATAAATACATGCACGATAAACACAAAGGCGTAAAAAGAACAATAGAAATAGGTCGAACGGCGAGTAATAGCCCATTAATAGGCTATAATAACCCCACAGCGTAAATACATCGCCTCAATAGAGTTACAAGAGTATCAACAGGTGCTAAACATACCTGCTTAGTTCGGTAGCATAGCATAGCATATATACAGTTTCTTATTTTTTATAAAGCAAGAAGAAATAGAAACTGAAGTATTTCCGGACCAATTCGACTTAGGGTCCTTCAAGAAAAGATCGTACCAATTCTTAAATGGCCGGCGAGCCTTCTGGCAAGGTGAGTGTTCCTGGGCCGCGGC